GATGGGAAGTGGAGCAGCCGGGTCTTGAACTGGTGCCCATATGGGATACCAGCATTGCAGGTGGTGGCTTTTACACTCTATACCACAGTGCCGGCTCCACAAGATTTACCGCCCCCCCCCCCCCCATAAATTGATGTGAATGGTTTGCTGCTACAGGCTCCATCTTCAGCATTGTCTCTTTTTTGATCATCTTAAAGCAATCTTATTTATTCAAGAAGCACAGAGACAGACAGAAGTTCCCATTTTCTGGTTTACTCCTTAAGTTCTTTTTATTTATTTATCTATTTATTTGACATGTAGAGTTATAGACAGTGAGAGAGAGAGAGGCAGAGAGAAAGGTCTTCCTTCTGTTGGTTCACCCCCAAAATGGCCGCTATGGCTGGCGCGCTGCACCAATCCAAAGCCAGGAGCCAGGTGCTTCCTCCTGGTCTCCATGCAGGTGCAGGGGCCCAAGCACTTGGGCCATCCTCCACTGCCTTCCTGGGCCACAGCAGAGAGCTAGACTGGAAGAGGAGTAACTGGGACTAGAATCAGCTCCCATATGGGATGCCGGTGCCGCAGGCGAAGGATTAACCAAGGGATCCACGGCACTAGCCGGTTTACTCCTTAAATTCTTGCAATGGCCCAGGCCATGGAAAAAATCCAGGAGACAAAAACTCAATTCAGATCTCCCACTTAGGTAACAAGGATCCCGCCATCACCTATTGCATGTCTTTGTTGTTGTTGTTGTTGTTTTTTGACAGGCAGAGTGGACAGTGAGAGAGAGAAAGACAGAGAGAAAGGTCTTCCTTTTGCCGTTGGTTCACCCTCCAATGGCCGCCGAGGCTGGTGCGCTGCGGCCGGCGCATTGTGCTGATCCGAAGCCAGGAGCCAGGTGCTTTTTTCCTGGTCTCCCATATGGGTGCAGGGCCCAAGGACCTGGGCCATCCTCCACTGCACTCCCAGGCCATAGCAGAGAGCTGGCCTGGAAGAGGGGCAACCGGGACAGAATCCGGCACCCTTACCGGGACTAGAACCCGGTGTGCCGGCACCGCAAGGCGGAGGGTTAGCCTATTGAGCCGCGGCGCCGTCCCTATTGCATGTCTTAGCAGGAAGCTAGAGTCATAAGCCAGAGTCAGTGTTTGAATCCTGACACTCGGATATGAGCACAGACACCTTAACCATTATGCCAAATACCCATGCTAATCCCTTCTAAAAGTGAGTTATCCATGTATGAATGGTTGGTTTCTTTTAATAAAGCATTACTAATTTCTTAACTCTTCAACCAGAACTTCTTCCTAAATGTTGTTTGCTCTTGCTTCAATGTTAGCAGAATTCTTGCTGTTCTAATAGGAACTCTGTTCTTAGTGCCTCAAACTGGATTCAGACATGTTATAACAAGTTAGTATGAGTTTATTTTGGTGCAAAAAAAATTGAAAACTATGTATAGCTTCTTTCATTTTTCCATGAACTTTTTTTTTAATATTTATTTCAGTTAATTGAGAGGCAGACTTACAGACAGAGGGAGAGACAGAGAGAGGTCTTCCATCCACTGGTGCACTCCCCAAATGGTTGCAACGGCCAGAGCTGAGCCAATCCAAAGCCAGGAACCAGGAGCTTCTTCAGGGTCTCCCATGTGGGTGCAGGGGCTCAAGCACTTAGGTCATCTTTCACTGCTTTCTCAGGCCATTAGCAGGGAGCTGGATTGGAAGTGGAACAGCCAGGACTTGAAGAGGCACCCTAATACAGGATGCCAGCACCGCAGGTGGAGGCTTAACCTACTATGCCAAAGCACCAGCCCATCCATGAGCTTTTTTTTTTTTTTTTTTTTAACAGGCAGAGTGGACAGTGAGAGAGAGAAAGGTCTGCCTTTGCCGTTGGTTCACCCTCCAATGGCCACCGCAGCCAGTGCGCTGCGGCCGGCGCACTGCGCTGATCCGAAGCCAGGAGCCAGGTGCTTCTCCTGGTCTCCCATGCGGGTACAGGGCCCAAGCACTTGGGCCATCCTCTACTGCATTCCCTGGCCACAGCAGAGAGCTGGCCTGGAAGAGGGGCAACCGGGACAGAATCCAGCGCCCCGACCGGGACTAGAACCTGGTGTGCCGGCACCGCTAGGCGGAGGATTAGCCTATTGAGCCGCGGCTCCGGCCTCCATGAGCTTTTTGAATATCATTCATATACATCACACAAATCTTTGTTTTTAAAAAATTATTATGTACCAGAGCAGGCACTGTTGTGCAGCGGGTTAAAGCCCTGGCCTGAAATGCCAGCATCCCATATGGGCGCCAGATCGAGTTCCGGATGCTTCTCTTCCTATCCAGCTCTCCGCTGTGGCCTGGAATAGCAGTGGAAGATGGTCCATGTCCTTGGGCTCCTGCACCTGTGTGGGAGACCCAGAAGAAGCTCCTGGCTCCGGCCATTGTGGCCATCTGGGGAGTGAACCAGCAGATGGAAGACCTCTCTCTCTGTCTATCTCTCTCTGTAACTCTGTCTTTCAAATAATAAATAAAATAAATCTTTAAAAAATATTATGCACAGCATAGATGTCATTTACATATAACACTATACATAATGTTCTGTGCCTTGCCTTTTCATTTTCCTTCATACATATCAGGAATTCCTTTGATATTGTGATCTATAGAACAAAAATCCCAAAATATTCTGATATAAAATTATTCCATCATATGTTTCCAGGTTTTTTTGTTGCTGCTACCAAGGGTGCTATGTATCTTACACAAACATCCATAATGTCTTTGATGATATATCTATAAATTCCTAGCAGTGGAATTATTGGAAATTAACATGCTATTTCTCAGTATAACATCTTGTAACCTCCTCTCTCCCACGACCTCCCCCCCCCCACACAACAGGCAGAATGAAATCAGAACACACTACTTTTTCTTGTGGCTACCTCTCCAATCTAATTTTCTGCTACTCCTTAGCTGTGGCCTAGAGTCACACCAGGCTTTTTCCTAAAGCCTGCAAACTCATTCTTCAGCTCGGGGCTTTCTCGTGCTTGCTTGCTCTTCAGTGCAACCCCCTGTAGAAGGTGACTGGAGATGGCGCCTTTAGATAAGACAGCACCATTTCACTAACATCAAGTATTTACTGTTTTTTATAACTGCTCTTTTAAGGTCCAGATTTGTTTTTAATATAACCCCACATCCATGTTTAGAAAATAAGCAGGGAATAACAGACATGCTTTAAATAAGAAACATAGTAGGGGCACTTTGTGGCATAGCCGGTAAAGCTGTTGTCTGGGATGCCTGCATCCCATATGGGCTCAGGTTTGGGACCTGGCTGCTCCACTTCTGATCCAGCTCCCTACTAATGTGCCTGGGAAAGCAGTGGAGGATGGCCCAGGTGTCTGGACCCCTGCACCCACATGGGAGACTGAAGAATCTCCTGGCTCTTGGCTTTGGCCTGGCCCAGTCCCCGTTTTTGCAGCCATTTGGGGAGTGAATCAGTGGATGGAAGACCTCTCTCTGTTTCTTCCTCTCTCTGTGTAACTCTGTCTTCAGAATAAATAAATCTTTAAAAAAGAAAACATAGTAAACAAATGTGAATTTCTCAAACTGCTTTCAAATCGATTACATTGCAAACACAAAGAATGAATTTAAAATTGATTTACTTTTGGACAAAAATAAGACTTATCCTTGCAACATACAATGAGGTCTTTCTAGGATTTTCTCACTGTAGAGCGCTTCCTCACTTTCCTATTCTCTTTCATATACTTAACAATTACTCATCACTTTACAAATATTGATTAATTACTCAGAGGCCCAGCCCCTGTGCTATAAAATCTTTCTCATCTGACCACACCTACTTTCCAGCCTAACTCAGCCAAGTGTTTTCGGCCTGGCCTGGGCCTCACTTTTAAATTCACTCAGACTTGCACTGTAGAAGTCTCCAGAATGACAATCCTTAAAAGGAAAGATAAGCAACTTCCCTACCTGGAGTGTCAACCTATTCATTGATTTGCAAATCAGCAACCGGGCCGGCCCTTTGGTTTACATAAAATTGTACTGGATTGTTAAAAACTTTTTCTTTAGTTTCTTACTACACCTTGCTCCCTAGGAAGAGGCGCCTCTGAGTTCCCAAGTTTCAGAGGCTCCCATCTTTGAATGAAAATACCCTCCCTTTGGACTCCTGGGGAGGTGAGGGCTATTTGCATCTGAGAAGGGTCATTTTCTTTTTGGTCTTAATGTCCGTTTAATTTTGAAAGTACAGGTTGTTTATTATTTTTTTAAGTTTACAATTGCATTCCTATATTAGATTATTGGACAACTCCTTGCCCTCCCATTTCATTTTCCCCCACGTCTGGGGGAAATCATTGAAGGGGCAGATGGAGCAGAATTCTTTTGATGTATGAGGTCAACATTGCATCCAACCCTCTCCTCAAACAGTATCTACAACAACAAATAAGTCAAAATTACCCATGCATACAAATAAAGCCTTTGCATTGGACCAGTTGGTCCAGTTCTCCGGTCGCTAACTTCCTCTCCTCCTTTGTCTCTGTTCATTAATTATCCCCCTCTCGGTACCCAAACCCTCCACCTAACCCCTCTCCCAGTCCTTTCTTCCACTTCCGGCTATTGGCCTCTCCCGACTTCCACCCTCCTCATCCTCATCCTCCTCCGGCTGCACGTGACGGAGGGCGCTCTGCGGGCCACTCGGCCCCCGGCGAACGTGAGTCTGAGCCGGAGCTCCGGAGTGGGGGCAGGGGGAGGCCCCGGAGGGTTTGCGCCGGGGCGAGAAGGGGCAGCGCGTCCCCTTCACGTGTGATCTCATCGCAGATTTACCTGGAGTTGTTTTGCGAGGGAGCGCTGGCAGGTTTTACTATTTCCCAATTGTTTACTCCCCGAGCTCTCCCGTCCACGCGCCTCAGGGCTGCGCCCCACACGCTGGAACTTCATTCAAAGGCAGGGCTCGGCGGCCCGCGAGGCTGGGGCCGGGGTACGCGGGTGACCGCCAGGCCACTTCCTCCCTCCCCGCGCCCTTCCCCCAGCCCTCCACCCCCACCGTGGCCTTTACTAAACTGCACCCCAGGGCGGGAGGAGGTCTCGCTCCTCTGCGCCCTCCCTCGCAAAGGGTTAATTTTCCTGATCGCACGAGGGGGAGGAGATTTCCCTGTAGACGAGTAAAAAGGGTGATGGACAAACGTGCGGGCACTAAGACCGCAAGGCATTCATTTCCTCCTACGGTGGATGCGGACGCCGGGAGGAGGCGAGCCCCACGGCGGCGAGGAGCTGGGCGCCGAGGCACAGGCAATGCTCCACCCTGGATGTAGCTGAGAGGCGAGCGCCGGAGACCCAGCGGCGAGGGCAGACCCGGGGGGGTGGGTGGGGGAGCAGGCAGGAGCGAGCCCTCGAGACCTAGCGCTTTACAGATTATTTTATTTTGTGTAGAGAGCACGTAGCGACTCCGAAGATCAGCCCCAATGAACATGTCAGTGTTGACTTTACAAGAATATGAATTCGAAAAGCAGTTCAACGAGAATGAGGCCATCCAGTGGATGCAGGAAAACTGGTAGGTGATGCTTTCGCGTGACACGGCGCCCGGCAGCCCTGCGTCTTCCCCCCGGAGCGCGTTCGGGTCGGGCTCCCTGCCCGCGCGCGCAGCCAGCCGGCAGCCCCGTGCCCGGGTCTCGGCGCGCAGGAGACGCCCGGCTGCGCGAGCCGCGGCTCCACAGGCATCTTTTGCACGGATTATATAACTCAGAACATATGTGTGTGCCTAGGGTGATGTCTGCGCGAGAGGGGAGGCGGGAGAGATGCCACAGTCCTGTCCTCTACCTGTGCTGCCTCCTGGTTTCCCTCTAGATTTTTTTTTTTCTTTTTCCCTCGGCCTCCAGCAGCCGTGTGTGAGAGACCGGGGAGGTGGGACCCGGGCTCCAGCTCGCTTTAACCCTCTGCCGCCCGCCGCCCTCGGCTCTGGTCCGCGCCCTCTCCCATCCTCGTGCCCTTCCTTTCTCCTTGCAGCTTCTCCCACTAAACTGCCCTCCTCCGTGCGCTCCCCGGCCGGATGCCTCCCTGCTTGGACCCCTTTCCGGTTTCATACAGAGACGGGGGAGGGGACAATGAAAACTGTAATAAAAATGAATGAACCCGAGCGAGCGCAGCCACGCCATGATTAAGTTTCTGTTTTACGGAAACGCCTTTTGGCTGCACTCACTTCTAAGGCAAAGCTGCTGAGTGGAGTCCATGCTCGCTGATGAAAAACCCCTCGGTCTGCAGTCCTGGGGAGGGGGAGAGGGATCTTCGCCACAAAAACTTCCAATGGGGAAACCTCTTTCTTGTTTACTGCGCTCCCTCCGCCCGTGCGGGAGGCGATCCGGTGTCACCTTGCAATGTTTAACCGAGGAGGGTGTGCTCGTCTCGCTTCTTCCTCGTGCACTGGGCCGTGCCGGAGACAGACCCTCGCTCCCCTGCCTACCCCCACCTAGGTCTGGCGAACGGGGAAGTGGCCAGCCCGGGGCACCCGGGAGCCGGTCCGCGGGGCCGCCTCCCGGGGCTGGGGCGAGAAAGGTCGGGCAGAGGGGCTCCCGGGCGCCAGGGGGGATTCCGGTCGCCGCGTGCCGAGCGCGCGTGCCCCGCGCCCTCGCGCCCTGCCTTGCCTCCCTCCTGCTCGCATCACTGGGCAGCCGGAGACCCTGCTGGGCAAGGGGGTTATAAGGGTGCCGGGAAAGGGGCCCGATTTCCTCTCCTCCCGCCCCTTGGGGTCGTCCATCCTCCTCGGGAGGCGCGACCGCCGCTCCCGGCAGCTCCTGCCCGCCCGCCCGAGCGTCCTTACTACGGGCCCGCCAGCCCCTGGGCGACTGCAGCCGGGCGGAGCCTGCCCCCTGGGCCGCACTCCCCGGCCGGGCGCCGCCTGCACTTCGCAGCTGCGGCGTGGCTGGTGGGCGCCGGGCCCGCGGGCCGCCCCGGAAGGACGGGAGGTGCAGCAAGCACATGGGGCGGCGGGGCTGGTGCCCTTCGCGGCAGCCGAGACTGTGCGCCCGGGGGCGGGTCCGGAAGGTGGCAGTCCACCGCGAGCCCCGATCCGGTAGAGACTGGACGTTGGGAGGCGCCGGCCTTGGCGCCTTGGGGTCCTAATCCACATGCACTTCCTCCTCCCGCGTAGTGGGTGGCGCTGGAGGCGGGCAGGGGCGGTGACCGGAGCTGGCGGGCGCCGGCAGCAGCGCAGCTGGCGCGCCGGGCCGGGGTCCTCGCCGCAGCTGTTCCGTCAGGTCCTCTGGGCGTCCAGCTCCTGCCGGTCTCCCTGCCTGCCGGGTGCTCTGTATTTCCCAGGGTCAGCCAGCTCTCTTGCTTGCTGCATCCTGGTGCAACCTGCTTCTCCGGAGTCGCCTCCCCTCGCCCTCCCGCCTGAACCGGTTCCCTGTCTGCCCGCATCTTTGCACGCTGCTGCGGTCGCTGCTGCGGTCGATACTGCCTCTTATTTACTTGTTGCCTTTTCTCTGAGACCACTTCCTACACTTGCCCCCAGGTACCCTTTCCCGCCTCTTCTCTTCATTCACTTAAGCACTCGCTCAGCCAGAGAGATCCTAGCCCTCATGGGATTGAAAATGGCAAAAATGCACCAACTTCTGTTCGCCCTTTAGGCTCTCACTACTGTTCGCTACTTGCTCTTTACCTATCTAATGCGTTGTTTTCACCTGGCTTTTATTACTGTAGCTGGATATTTGCGTATTACATCTGTGCCTTATACCAGACCGTCTAATCTTCAAGGCACGACTCTTGCCTCATTTCCTATCGATTCTGCAGGGCACCCAGCAGCCTGCTTTGTATTGGCAGATGCTTGGGGCTGGTTTTATGGCCAACATTACCTGTTAGTACCGGAGGCTTTGCCATGCTTGGCCTGCCCCTGTGGTTTGAATATCGTGTTAAAGTCACATTTTAGGATTTTTCCCTTCCTGCCTTCGCTATTGACGGTGTGTTCTTCTCGAATTGCATGGACAGTCAAAGAACCCTGCTGACCTTGCACCTGTTCTCCATCCTAATTGTCTTACTTTCTTCTTTTTATTTTACCCTACTGCCTTATTCCTGGTATCCTAGGGGCCCAGTTGTGTAACTCCTGCAAACCAACAGCCAGAAAGTCTAGAATTGGGTATATAGGAAAATGTCTTGTTTTCCACTTACTAACGGGAGAAGGAAGTGGCAAAACCAAAGCTTGGGCCCTCTGGAAGAGGGAGAACTTTAGCAAACCACAGAGTCTTTGCCTTTTCCAGACTCCTTTACTTAACATGGTCTGAAATGGATTTTGGAACAAAACCCGGATGTAGGGAAGCTTCTCCTTGCTTTTGATAATTCATTTGCGTTGCCTTTAAAATCATTTTGACTTGGCCTCAGACAAAACTTGTCAACTTAGAGAATTCCAATGTAACTCTCAAATGAGTTACCATGTCATTACCTTAGTCATCACACGTTGTACATATATGTATTGGAGGAGCACACTCTATGCCATAAATGTGTACGGATATTAGGTGTCAAAACCATGAATAGAAAAGCTACATTTGGCTTTTGACGAATGGTGAGGAGGACCAGGGGTCAGGTTTTACCTACGAGCTATGTGCACCAACTAGCATCATTTAAGGGGACCTACGATAAGGAGAGTGTGTTGAACCCTCACTGGTTACCTCGGCATGTACTAGTGGAGTGAGGCTTCAGTTTTGGAGTGGGGTGTGTATAAACAGTGAATGGTTCCACTGAGACAAGTTCATCAAGTTCCTTGTTTTTTAAATGAATGATTAACCTGGTACTCCTTGGCCTGGACACGAAATAAATACTGTAGACTTTTTCACTTTTCTGGCAAATAGTTTTATCAATAATAGATTAGAATAGCAATTGAGATACAGAGTAATATGTTCCCTTGGAGAATCAGCCTGAGCCTCATCTTGAAGGCACACAGACAGTTAAAAACATACCTGGTAAATGAAAGTTTATTACATGAGGTAGAGGAAAATGCCTGCTTTTAGCTCCAAAGAGCAGTTTAGGGTTCCAGTTTTACACTGAAAAGCCCTTGTGATTTCCCAACAGTGAAAATAGAGACATGTTGTTCTTTTATGAGATGTCTGGCCTCTACCTGTTATTCTCACTAACAGCTGACTTAATTTATAAGTGCTGCCAGCCAGGGAACAAAATCACCTAGTGACTGGTGAGGCTGCATGAATTCATTGAGTGAGAAGGGAAGCTGGGCTCTGCCTTCTCCTCTTTCAGCAGCCTGCCAGGTTCGTGCTAACAACAGTGGATGCGAGTTGCTCCAGTTGTAATTGTCTGGCCAATGATGATTATCTTCTGATGTCGGCTGACACAGTGTTCTCCAATAGGAGAGCAGGAGGCCTGTGCTGACTGCTGTAACATTATGTATGTGAGATGACGTCATCAAAGGGCTTGCCTAGAACCTCATGAAACCCTGCCCCCTCTCCTGGCGTCCTGCACACATCCAGCCTTTCAATGCTTTGTAGATTTTTCTGACTTTCTCGCCTCTCTTCCCCCACCATGGAGGTGGCTGTAAGGGTTTTATTGTTTCTCTATTTTGTATTCTATCTTGCAGACTATAAGATAGTGTAGAAATTTTCAGAATTAAATACTATCTGGCTGAAATTGCTCTTTACCAAAGTAGGGGAAAGGAACACTTTAAAAGGAGTAGTACATCTGTAGGTTCTTTTCTTGTATATGAGGCTCAGAAAAAGGCGCATGATAGACAGTTTCAAGATAAAAGGACACAAAGCAGCATAGCCGGTATTAGTGTTAAACTCAAGATACAGCAGCATGATGTTGCAGAAACTTTTCACATGCAGGCTCACTGTTAGGCTGCTGTTTTTCCTGTGCTGAGGATTGCTTTGAATGGCTCTCTGAGGTCCTCCTTGGGACCGGCTGCAAATGGCAGGAGAACAGTGCAAGTCTGTGACGGTGGAACAGAGTAAGCCAGAGTTTCAGTCCATCAGTCACAGAATGCACGAAGTTGGTCAGCTGTCCAGGAAAATGCCGTATTCCTATCGTTCCCGTTATGCCACCATTTATTTTGGAATCACAGCTCATTCTGACCTGAAGACTGGGAAGTGTTAAGTGTAAGGAACTTAACATACCGTTCAGTAAACTTCAAGAAGCCGTGGAGTCCTATGTGCTAGCTTACGAGTGTGAAGACTCAGAAGTTGCATGGAGAAAAATCTGATCTGTCTTATGATCCTAGAAAATAGTGAAATGTTGTGTGGGAACTTTGAACTCTCGTGCATCTTTTAGGAAATGATGTTGAGTCATGCAGTCCCTGTTTGTTTAGGACAAGGGTGAAGGACAGTTTAAAGAGAATTATTTTATGGTTATATTATCCATCTATACTTCTGCGTTACTTATAAATACTGTGTGGAGATCAAAGTTTCACATAAGGTCTTTTTTTTTTTTTTAAGATTTTATTTATTTATTTGAGAGGCAGTTACAGACAGAGAGAGGGAGAGACAGAGTGAGAGGTCTTCCATGCGCAGGTTCACTCCTCAAATGACCACAGCAGACAGAGCTGAGTCTAATGGAAGC